TTCATTTTTTGCCGTTTTCTTAGAAATTGCCAAAATGTCAAAGAGTTTGGCCTTTTTACATCTAGACTCACCCTAAATATATATATATATATATATATGACCACAAAAAAAGAGACAAACACTAGACACGGCGTTCGTAGACCAACCAATAAATTGGGATCAACGCAACGTTAGTACTCGACAATCGAAATCGCTATAATTGGGACAAACGTCTTAATCGATTGGGACAAACCACAACGTGTGCTATATAATTTGGTACCTTGGCCAGTTGGGGGGTGGCTGCGATGCCGGCACTGGCAGTGAGCTGTGTGACCTCAAATATGCGATGTCGTAGCGCTTGGACGACCGCCGCCGCCTTGTCCTCGACGCTGGTCTCATTCGTAAAATAAAAAGGTTGGGCGGCTAGCATAGACTCAGTTGTTCAAGTCGATATTGTCAAATCCGTTTCAATTTAGATTTCCGAGTAGAATCGAATGAATTTGCCAATATGTTGGATTTGAAAATGTCCTAGCCAATCAAAGTGCACTAAGCGTAAATATCATCCAATCATCGATCAGAATAGTTTGGCCCAGTCGACTGTTCACCTCCACATGTGTATACTATACATTGAAGAAGCTGACTCAAATCGATTCTTGAACCAGCTCTGCCTAAAAGTCCAAATTTCAGCGGAATAGACAATACACCAAAGAAGTGCTAGTACGACCGACGAAAGATCGTACATTCATGTGGGGCAAATATATGCACATGTCATATTGTACATCACATTCAAAACGACAAGAAACCCTAAACCATGTAGTACATACTAATCCATATATATATATACATACGAACAGTATTGTAAAATCCGTTTCAATGCGAGTTGAATCGAATGAATTTGCCAAATGTTGTATTTGAAAATGTCCCAGCCAATCAAAGTTGCACTAACAAGGAATTTCAACCAATCATCGATCAGAATAGTGTGGCCCAACAGTTTGGCCCAGTCAAATGTCCATCTTCAAATATGTATACTATACATTGCAGAAGCTTCATATCTGACGGAGTCTCTAGTCAAGTCCGAATTTCAGCGAAATGGGCAATACCTGGAAGAATTGTATCAATTGACTCTGGCGGTACAGATGGAGAGGCTGGCGACAACGGGGGGGCGGTGGACTTAGCAGTTGACGCATCGATGAAGTCTGTAATATCCAAGTAAGCCTCATCCAAGCTGCCAGCGGTAAAATGGGGATCAAACTGGCGAAATATATCTCGAGTTTGGTGGGCCACAGCCTATCCAAACGGATATCAAGCGATTAAATTGAATGAAAACATGGTCAAATGTCACCAACACAACGATATTTGCAAGAGAACCTCGTATTTGGCAATATGTGGAGGCACAAACACGAGGGCTGGGCACAGCTTTTTCGCGATAAAGCCAGGCATGGCGGCGCGCACCCCAAACTTGCGCGCCGCGTAGTTGGCCGTGCAGATCATGCCCATGCCCCCGACAGCCATGGGAACGTTGGCTAACGATGGATTGTCGCGCATTTCGACGGCAGCGAAGAACATGTCCATGTCCACGACCTTGATGGACGCATGAGAGTGGTGATCGATCGATGATGACGATGATGGACGTACGACGTGCACGCGGGAGAAGTCGCGGCTGGCCTCCAAGGCTGCCACGCGTTGGTCGACGTCAGTGACCAAGTTGTGACGACGCTTGACGCCCAATTGCACTCGCATGGCCGCGATCTTCTTGTCCACTATACCGTCCTTGTCGACCGAGTTCTTGAAGAACGCAGAGTCTTTCGACATGTCGTAGATCGTCTGGTTGATCGTAGACCGGTCAACGTCGTCCATCCCTGCCTTTGGGTTCGAGAACACGAACAGGTGCTCCTTGGACGAGTCCATCGCGTTGGAGAGACGGCCAAGATGCGGAAATGGAGCCAACTGTCGACTCGTGCACAGTCGACGAACGATTGTGATTGGTCCACTGTACTTGTTTATCTCTCTACGATTGGCTGGAGTTGACGATTATATTCACACTTGACAAAATAGTTGAAAGTGAAATGGATAAAAATCGAAATATTTCAATCACGAGTACTATTAATCGTACTTACTATTAATACTTCAAGTACAGAACTTGTACTACTATAGTACCGTACTACACGTGTAGTACGGCACGCCGCAGCATGTACTGTAAGCTACTGTGTACATACTAGTATTGCATTGCTTTGGTCGTTAGCACTCATCTTACGTAACGTTGCCATGGAATTCTATACACTGTAGCGCAATTTAGGATGACTGGCTACCCTTGCGGTACATATTTACCAGTACTGTACAGCCCACCGTACTTCACGCAAAGTGAGCGTATGTGTTGGCTGAGCCACGAAATGCTACGTTTTATATTGAAATTCCATTGATCCGAAGCCTGCAAACAACCTTTCTTGTGGGGTACAGTAACTACAGTAACTTATCACCACATTGTAGAGGGATGTTTCTCTCAATTTACGCATGGAGTATTTTATAAATGGACAACCCAATGTACATTACATGCTGCTTCCAAGCACCACCCAAACTTCGTACATGGCACGAAACGTGGCTCGGAAGATATGTATTTTTTATTACTTTCCTTCGAGTTGTTTGTCACTACAATATCGACCAAAGCACACACACACATCCAACGTCAAGCCCATCCTCGTCGTTACAACGTCGACAGCGTATGCACGACGCTATTACCGCCACTGCCGCCCTTGATCCTCCAAGTACACTCCATCTTCGTCCATAATCACACACGTTCGAGGGTTGGCAACAGCAGCAGCATTGTGGACGGGCGTCGTGGACGGGGGTTGCGGTGACGGTCGATACAGTGGTGGGTACGCCAGATGGTGATTCTGCTGGTTTTGGGCAAACAATTCCCGATCCTTCTTGGGGCTTACGACGCGAATGCTCCGCGGGGTCAACGACAGTTCGCTCGCGTATTCGGTCATGCAATGGTTGTTGTCGTCGGCGGTGGTGTCGAGGGCATTTTCCCAATTGTTGGACGGTACCGACTGGGAACTTTCCTCCAATTCCCACTGGTTTTCGTGGTTGTACCCGCCGTCGTCGCTCGCGGTGGTCGTGCGCGGGTACTGTGGGTACATCTGTTGGTGGGCAAGTTGCTTTTGATGGCTCGTCGAGTAGAGCAAGTTGCTGTGGTCGCTGCTGCTGCTGCGACTGCCATATGGACGCCCGCTATGGATGGTCGACAGCGGCGGCTTGGATGTGTCCCCGTTCGCCACCACGCCCAATGCACAGCGTACACACGCCTTTAAGTACGTTTTCGCGCCGTGAACCTTAATGCACCAGTTGTGGTTGCACGTAGAGCACACCACCTACACGGAAAACAAATTGCAATCTCATTAGTTGTTGTAAGAAAGATATATATATATATTATTTCATAGAGGTTGAACCAAGCGTAGAAGTTGATACTGTATTGATTGATAATAGTAGGATACTGCGAGTGCAATCTATTAATAGTAGTTTACTTGGAAAGACCTGTCAACACAATTCGAGGATTGAAGATATATATTAAATGCATGACCTGTCAACACAATTCGAGGATTGAAGATATATATTAAATGCATGTATACATGCATTTATATAGGTAATGTACATATATAATACTTCAAAGTATATATATCACACACAAGTGGTACTCGAAGTAGTATATTATCACAAGGCAGGAACGTGCATTGGCAACGACGATACATACACAACATCTCTTCTTCCACCGCACGATTTACTATCCAAAAAATCCATTCTACGATATATATATATATAAATCTCCCCAATACAGTATCTGATGTATACACATATATGGTAGGAATACCTCGCCGCATTTGTAGCAATTTGACTTGGCATGGTTCCATCCAAAGCGCAGGTTGCAAATAAAGCAGTGCGCTCGCTTCGTCTTAGACACGAGTTGCTTGGCCGTGAGAAACGCGCCGCGGCCGAGGCGGTCTTCGCGGAGAAAGCGGTCGATGTCCTGAAGGCTGCGACACCGTTTGGTCATGTTAATATCACTGACCCATGCGCGGCGCTTGAGCATCGAGTCGCTCACGTAGTCATACGAGACACCGCGAAAGTCGAGCTGCGCCACGAACCGCATCTCAAGGTACCCCGGTCGGTCTGGGCACTCGAGGAAGACGTGGCCGCTGCCATAGTTTTGCAAGCGGATAAGACCGAGAAGGTGCTGGAGTTCAGGGCACGACGTGAGATTGATCGACTTGAGCGACGTCACCCACCCCCGACGGCCGTTCAGTTCAAATCCGTGGTTGCACTAGCAGATTTATTATAAAAAACGTATATCCAGTGAAATGCATGATAGAATTCTCCATATTTGATCCATATACATGGCCGAGGAAACATCCTGTAGCAATGAACACATGAAACAAATCCATCGACTCACTCAATATGCAATATGGTAGAGTGAATGACTAGTCGACAGAAGTATGAGCCAATCAGATTGCAGGAAACCACAACCCATACATCGGTGTTACCTTCAATTAGTGTGGTTACTATCAACTAAAAGTATATCAGTTGTTACAAACCTCAGTAACGTTACAGCGCATCAAAGCTCCATGGAATTGGCAAATATCAGCACACAAAAGTCCAAATTTTGGAGTAAAAGGTAAATATGTACATACCTCGAGAAGACACGCATCACGTTTGGCAACAAACAGAGACAATGGACTCTTGTACGCGCGCCAGTGCACTCCGATGAGTTCGCCAGGAGATTCCGGCGACGGTTCGACCAATGAATACAGCTTGACGGCGTCCACGAGCTGCTTGCCGAAGCGGCGCATGTGCTCTTTCGCTTGTTCGGTGGTTCGCGTCTGAAACAACTCGATCACTTCGTCCAGTGTGCCCACGACTTCCATCACCCCCATGTACAAGTACGAGCCAGGCATAGCGTTCGGGTCATCGCCCTTGTAGATCTTGAGGTCCACTTCATCAGATCGAAGTGCCCACTTGACTTTACCCCCCAGGAGTTGAGTCTTGCGCACCTGACCAGGAATGTTTAGCTTGTCATACTAGTAACGAGATTTCGACTCATAGCGAGTAAGTATAGTTACCACATCCATGGCACTTTGGAGGGCTTGCTGCTGTAGATGGTCCACTTCGAATGGAGTTAACGGTGGACATTGGAAAAAGTTGGCGGGCAGCGGCAGCTTGACGGCCATCCTGCAAATGCGAAAATGCATCGCCACGAAGCTGATAATCTGAGCAAACCATCAACTCGCTCGAGTTACAGCTGTCATATGACTCAATGTACAGTGGCATAGAGCGGATTTCATTGGCTGAAATTTGACTTGCAGATCCCTCTCGACGTCACTTGCGGCCAATCATGCGGCCACAAAAAGCAAGGTGAAATTGCAACCTTGTGTGTCAATAACGACCCTCGTGCAGGTGACACCGGTATATCGAAAGGTTGCGCAAGAACTTGTTTGCACACGTCGACTACACCCGCCACCTCCGAACTCTACCGTTGCCGTGTCACAACCATCGGTTGTGTCGTCGTAAAAGGGTTAATGGCCATGAATGCTGCGATAGCACGAACGATTGCCAGGTATATGCAACATATGGGCGGCCAGCCAGTATGAGACGCAACAAATAGTAAGGCATCGAGCGTGCTGGGGCTACTAGTATATTCAGTCGCAACGAATAGAACGGTTGGGGAAGAGGTGGGCAAGAACAAACTGGCGCTTAGAATGTCTGAAGTTACTTGGAAGCACGGTTCGAATTAGCAGTGTGAAAGGTATACAGACTGTACAGTACTGTACTGTAGTACAGAAGTCGGATATTATTCTCAGTAGCACTTTTATGGACCTGCAATCCGAGGTACCATACACTTATTCAAGGCAATACTGTACTGGCAACCAAAGACCATGCGACGTTTTGACTATGAACACACACAGAACTTCTGGATTAGTAGTATATGTGTTGTGAAGTGACCATGCATTTACCACCACGAATGACTTGAAAGCTAAAGATATTAAGGCGGCTGAAAGATTTACACCGGAGTACATCGAAGACCAGCGCAGCGTCAACGGAAGGGGTGATTAAATGTGTCACCTGTAGTACAATCATTTGGAGCATATGTATCCTAACATAAGTACCATACTACTACGCATCACAGATTGTACTGCGGTACTCGACGCGGATTGAACTTCATAGAATTCTAATTTATGGACTTTGGAGTTTATCACTAAATATTGCAATCCGTAAATTCGGACGATTATGAGTTGGGGGAACTAACGGGGGGTCTATTCCATGGGGACAAGAAGATGGAATGCATTATCGCAACGAAATCAGCAAACCACGACGAAACTTTATTCGCTGGTTTCTCAAGATGTATAAATTCCCCGCATTGGGGGGGGGCAATTTACGACAAAAGTCTCGTAAATATTAATAGGGGCTGAATTATTCAGCAATCGTAGCATGCCCCGAGGTTTAACCCCCTTTAATCACAACTTCTGTAAAATTATGCTCGTTACTTTCGAAATGGATAGGCATGCAGTACTTCGAGGGGGGATTGAATAATATCCAATGGAGATTTCGGTCGACCCAGGTTAGTTAGAATGCCACCGCCGACAAAGTGATATTTGGGAATACATGCCGTTCGTACCTTGTACCACCAATTTTGCTGGCAATGTCAGTAATAGTTTTCAAAGTTCCCGGATGAGTTTGGATGTCCAAAATATGGCAAAGTCTTCGATATTTTGGCGATTTCTAACTAATCGGCAAAAAGTAAAACATTGCTGTCTGGATCCAAAATTTGGTGAATTCAATAGTTTGCCCAAAAACTAAAAAAGTGGTTCTGGGGACTCTTTTTCTGAAAGTTTGCAATAACTGAGAGCTACAGTATGAGAATCGTCGAGTTTCCGTCGAAATCAGTTTGATCCAGACAGTTAAAAATAGGCGACCACCAAAGTATTCGACTTTGGTGGTTCTAGTAGTAATATATAAGCAATATTATTAGGAGTATGTTACTGACACATCTTATTCGTCCACCTCGTCAATACAATATAAATTCATCGAGGAGTCGTCCACATGGATGTGCTACACGTGTAGTACACGGTAGCGTTAGGATTACGTGCATGCTTGTGTCAATATTCTATGATGGAGTTTGATTTGAAATTTTGAAAACACCTTGACTTCAGGTGTCCGTTTCGTATGTACACTACCAAGGGCTGCACTATGTAACAGTATGATGTGAACGAGTAGCAATGGAGGTACAGTGGTAGTAACAAGTGCTGATATTGCCCGTATCACCAATAAAAACGATTTCTATGTGTGGTGGCCAAGGGTATGAAAGGTTTTGTCAGTTACATAGAAGGATGAGTTACACAAGACAACGCAAAGCCTCGTCATCACCTACCATAGTTGATGTGATTGTTCGTACATATCCAAACCTCGTCGTAGAGTTCGAACGGCACTGGTTCATCGACCGTGTACAACTAACACATACCGATATGGAACGCTTTGAACCACAAACCGGCCCTTGAATCGCGTCACATCGAAGTATTTGATTGAAAGCGGGGATGTAAAACGATTTCTATGTTTAGATGCAAGCACCCCCAAACGAAAGCGATTGACGAGTACACCCCCTGCAATCAGTACCACATCCTCAGGTACCATGAGTCGAGTGAAGTTTCATTGGAAATCGCTGTGCCTGTCCATGCTGTTTCTGCTTAACCTCGTGTTGATGCCCCTCAAGCCTTACCTTACCGAGGTATCCCCTATCGAACCGGAAAACAAGTATCGGCCGTCGTACCTGACGGCCGTGAACACATCCGAAGAGCAAACACAAGCCTGTTGGATGTCACAGATGTACAATGCGTCCACCATGACGCTCGACACTCTCTACTTTGTTGACAGCCTGCGGATTGTGGAGGTTATGCGCACAGTTGCGCCAAACGAGATCTGTTCGGACGAAGCCGAGCTGGCGAACATTGTTGATGCAGTGCGTGGTATCATATTTTTCACACCAGCATTCAAGCAATCCCTCACAGTTCGGTGGGGCTGCGGTGGGGCGACGCCAACCCCATACCAACACCTCCCCCCACAAGTGTGGTTATTAACACTCGGTTCAATCCCCGTCTCGACGTCCGTGGCGTGGGTCGTTCCTGAAAACGAAGGGACGACCGTGTACTACGCGTACATGCCTGGAATCAAATCGCAAGCGTGGAGACTCACCATCCTCTGCTTTCGTCTGGTCGCCAGCGTTTGGATCTTCCACCTGTCCATAGCAGGGTACTACAACCATGTGCGGCACCTGCGGGGCAATCTGGACGCGTTCCCCCTGCACGGATATACCAAAGCCAGTCGGTATGAAATCGTCGTAGGCGAGCCGACGTGCATCGTCCTGGCCAACCCATGGCTGTGCCTATGGTTTCTTCTCGACCTGGTCACCAACACCGAGTACATTGGCATGGCATGTTTGCGGGTGTGTCAGATAAATAACCTTGTCTACTTTTGCCTTGGTATGCTCTACTTGGGTCGCACCGTTTGGTGTGGATACACTGCGCTGGCGGTGCTCAATATCTTGCTCAAACGGCGCCACAAAGCGCACTGGGTCAAGCCCACCAACACGACCATCCTGGCGCTGGCAGCAAGTTTAGCCGGCGGTGGCATCATGTACATTCAAACCGAGTGGCAGGAACACCTGGACATGTACTTTACGCTCTACGTTGTGCACTATGTATCCGACACCCACGAGACGACCACCATGGAAACAGCCCCCGCGATGCTCGTTTACGCCTTGTCCATGACCATGTTGCCCTTTGCGATTGCCGCCACGCAGCACGTGGCCAACTTCCTCCTTCATCACTGGAAACTCTGCCGAGCTGGCCGCATCACTTCCATGCTAATTTCGTCGGCGAGGCATTCGTTAACGCGGTCCATGATGGTTTCCCCCACCATGCCAGAGGTACATGATATATTACATACAGTAGTACATATCAAAGTATTGGAAATTCGGTCAATCGAAGGTCATCAATCTCTCTCCCCACTCCCATTGGTCAATCCCAAATTCCTTGTCGCTGTTTGGCTACGGTCTAATTTCGATAATTTTCTACCTCATTGTCAAAAGAGTAGTGGATAATAGCCAATCACACAGCTTGGCTCTATTTGTGCTCGATTGACTGTAAATTGGGAACTTTGAAGAAAATCTACAATACTGTACATATGCACATATCTAATAAGGATGGGGTATAGGCACCTCGACACACACACCAGAGCCAATGCGAGTACAACGACGTCAAGCACCGCGTGGTGCTGTGGTTATGTGGCTTGACCAAACTCAAACCACGTGGGCGTACCTGTGACATCCGTCTTATTTACAAGGATTCTTTGATCGTGTAGGCCATTTCACTGGCGGAAGCATCTACTCGCTGTTCCGGGCCGCCCCTGGCTACCAAGCCCAGTGCACCCTAAGTCAACGTGGGGGAGACTGCTACATCTTGTGCTATGACTCCTCCGATCGCCTCCTCGAATGTACTCGCGTGACGCTGGTGTCGCAAGTGGACCTGGCACATCAAACTCAATTGCTTCAGCAGAAAACGACCAGCGCGGCCGTGGGACGGGTGGTCTTGGGCTTGGATCGGAACCATGGCAGTACCGTGATGGAATTGTTCCAAGGCGAGCGCAACTCGCCATGGATAGCATAGTTCGATGCACATGGGTAGAGAAAACAAACCAAACACTGCTATCGCGTCGTAATTGTTACTAATTTATTGCTAAATGGTGATCTACTACTAGTATAACGTTACTGTTAGTTTTGTTGATCTCACCATGAAATATAAAACGTGAATATAATTATAAAACTCAATGCAATCTTAAATCAATTAACTGTAAACCAAATTTAAACTAATAATTATTAGTTTTCCTTTTCTACCGGTAGTATAGTTTTCCTTTTCTAGTTTACTGTTAGTATACTAGAAAAGGAAAATTCGACATTGATGTACCAAGAGCACCCCCACGGTGCGACTGTAAAAACTATTTTACACATATTGTCGATTTGATACAAATTTGGGGAGGGGGTGCAATCGAACCGCGCCGACCAAATCGATCCACAATCGATCTGATTGGTTGAATTTCATTGAGAAGGTTTTGATTGGTTAATAATTTTGAGCTCATCTAAAGTAGCCAATCAAATCGATTTAAATTCCAACGAGAAACCACGCTACAACACGAAATTTCACTCGAAAGCACAATATATCCAGATTATTTACAGTTTTGACACCCCACCGGGCGGCTGTAAAATACAGGAAACTGTATAATTTTACCGCGAGACTGCAAATCGTCCAGATTTAAAGTTTCGACTGTAAAATACAGTTTTGACGAATTAGCCAATAACATGTTATCAATGGATAATTTTGTCCAATCATCGGTGTCATGTGTTTGACGGAAAGCCAATAATCACTTTCCTTTGAGCAAATGGATCCTTCAAACGCGCTCGTGGCTCACACTCGGTTGGGTTGCCGATGCACTCGACGAGTTTGTGATTTGTGAGCCACGAGCGAGTTTGAAGGATCCATTTGCTCAAAGGAAAGTGATACAAAATTATCTATTGAAAACATGTTATTGGCTAATTCGTCAAAACTGTATTTTACAGGCGAAACTGTAAAATTTTTACAGTTTCCTGTATTTTACAGCCGCCCGGTGGGGTTGTCAAAACTATAAATAATCCGGATAGAACTGTAAAATAGTGTTAAAGTCGCACCAGTGGGATGCTCTTAGGAACTGAAATATGGCTGTACATTGTACTATACATCGTGCAGTTGTAGGTCGCCCTTGCTTTCCACGTACAGTACTAACGTTACTACATACAGTATCAAGTGTTGTAGGTATGGCATAGCTTGAATAATTGGACAAAGCGACGACAACAGCAGCCTAACTACATCCCTGACGATATACATTAGTCGGAGTAGGTAATGTTTGTAGTGAGAGGTCATGAATATATGTGTCCTGCCATATGCAGCTGCTTCAGTTTCTTTGCGGCAAGCACCTTGACGTGTTGAGGTAAAACAAGTTGTTTGCCAGATTGAAAACGGCAAACAACTTGTTTTACGAAGAGCCTGTAAAATCACCTTCAACCAACCAATCATCGCATTAGATGAAGAAACTTGAACAACGCACCCATCCATTATTCAAGTTACTTTAGACGTTATTTAAGCCAGAGAAAATCTTAAACAATGAATTTCAACTTGGAATTGCCAAAAAAAGGTTCAAAGCACACCAGTACTAACTTACGTAGTACTAGGTAGGGGAAAAAATATTCACGACAAGAGTTATTTATTTATTTAAATAGAATTTTGTCGCAGAAAAAGTTATTCGCTGGACGCCAAGGACAGAATTAACATTAAGTCTTGAGATGGGCCTTAAGAAATAAATAAACAATTCAATTCGCGTAGACTAATATTCATCGATATTCAGAGGTTACAGTATTACATATTGATTTACTCTCTGTCAATAAATAATTCATTTCGACTACAGGTAGCTGAAATAATTATTTTTTCTGTAATATGTCTAACTGTAAAGTAATTTGTCCAGTAAGAATAAATAATTTATCATCCTTGCATGTCAGAATTAAGATTATACATACTATTAATAGTACATCATACTACGGAGTGCAATACTGGTATACTTGTAAATAAAAATATCATAGTTCGTAGGTTTTTTTACTGAAATAAATATATAGTACTCCTACTACATACTAGTCCTGTATTTTCCCTGCCTCTGCTACTACTACTACAGTAGTACCTGGTACTGTACTGTATATCGTAATAATATTAATATTAATACGTACTATGCTATGAAACCAATTCGTTATCCGTACTCTCGATTGCACTCGAAATGGCCAATATTGATTCAAATAACTGCGTGCTTTATGGCTTCAATAGTCCTAGTGACTCTTCACAACCTACATACATGCCAACACGAATCCATGCATTTACATCATAATACCAGTAGTTCTCCTCATCCTTGCTTAGCCGTCGACGGTTTTCACACTCCTGTATTCGCTGTAATCGTCCAACACGATACTCGTACGCGAGTAATGACTGCTCTCCATCAACGGAAAATGGCTCGTGTACGTTGCCGACCCGTCATCAGACGAGTCCTCGGTCATGTCTTCGTGGGCTTTATAGCCTCCCCGCGAACCGCGTGGCAGTGATATCTGCGACGCCGTCGACGACCGACGATAATGGTGTGTGGAGCGTCCGAGCGCACAGATCACGCACGCGCGCACTTGTTTGGTGGTGCTGTCCTTGGTCGTGGCCCACCAAGGGTTGCACGACTTGCACAGAACGTGGCCACACTTGGCGCAGTTTGTTTTTCTGTGTTTCCAGCTAAATTCAACGTGGCAGAGATGGCACGCTGTGGCGGCGGCTAGAGATGCTTTGGAAAGGAAGCGGGTATCCATTCTTTGGAGAAGTTCGTCGCTGAAGACGCGGTCTTCTCGAAGGAATCGGTCGATGTCGGTGATGTTGCGACACCGTTTGGTCATGTGAATGTCACTCACCCATCGCCGCCGCGACGCCATTTCGTTGATGTTGAGTTGCGTGAGCCACGACCGATTACGTTTCGCCAACGCTTTGGTCAAGAAATCGAACGCGATGCCGCGAAAGTCCACGTGTGCAATGTACCGAATCTCGAGCCACCCAGGCCGGTCCATGGATTCTAAAAAGACGTGGCCGCTGCCGTAGTTCATCATGCGCACGAGTCCGCCCAACGCTTCCAGGTCGGGGCAGCACGGCAACTCGATCGATTGAACCGACACGACCCACCCGCGTTGCCCGTTGTCGCACGTGAACGCATGATTGCACTATCTCGATTGTATTAAATTTTGGTTGCGTTTGCCAGTATGAGTGTATGGATATGGAGAGAAAGAGGACATTTCAATGTGTGTGAATAAAGCACTGAGATGGTGAGAGAGAATACCATGGCATATTCAATGGATGTAACCATGTCGACAAAAAAAACGTCAACACATCCAGAAACCCGATAGATCTTGACTCGAAACGAATCGTGTTCAGCACATGTGCTCGCACAATTGTTGGTACATACGGTGTACGTACTCGTGCAAATGCTCCAAGATGCTCACGACCGGTATCAGTACAGTACATTTGATGCCACCATCCACATACAGTATATACACATGAATACCTACTAGTATATACTAGTACTAGTAGTAGTACTGTACAGTACTGTTAATATTAATAGTATGAACATTACCTACTGTAGAAGTGAAAACCGTAACGACAAGTGTGAATAAAGTCGAATAAAGAGCAACCACTTCAACGCAATGCACGTACGTACGTACGTACATACTACTGTAATATTGTCAAGTCAATTCGAAATTGGAGTGGGGTGCTCAATCGAATATATGCAGCACCAAATCGGCTGCCAATCGATCGACCAATCAAAACCCACAACACGAATCAAGTAGCCAATCAAATCCACCCTTCGACCAATTCGTATGTGACTTAAATTAGTTCAATCTTTTCATACAAAAGTCAGTACAATGAATCGATCGATAGATTTGGCGAATCAGCACAAAACATACCGGTACACAAGTGAAAACATGAGTTTTTGTAAAGTCTGAGTAGCTTACCTCAAGCAGACACGCATCGCGTTCAGCCACGATGAGCGACATTGGGCTCTTGTACGCGCGCCACGTCAGGTCGACCAATTCCATCGGCGCGTCCGCGGTGGGTTCAACGAGCGAGTACAGCTTGATCGCGTCCTTGAGTTGATGGCCGAATCGGGTGGCAAAGTGCTTGGCTTGTTTGGTGGTGCGCGTCTGAAACAGCTCGACGACTTCGTCCAGCGTACCGACCACCTCAGTGACGCTCATGTACACGACAGCTCCAGACGCGGCGACGCCGTCGCTCTTGTCGTCGACGGGGCTCCCTTTGTAGATCTTGACGTCCACTTCGTCGGACCGCAGGCTCCACGCAATGGGACCGCCCACCAATTGTGTCTTGTGCACCTGTCATCATGTTGTAGACAAGTGACTTGGTAGGGATTGCCGGCCGTACCACAGACATGGCGCTGCAAGTAGCTTCGCGAATCACGCGTTGGATGTCGTACTCATTGAGAGCAGGACGTTCAAAAAAGCCTGCGGGTAGCGGCAATTTCAAAGGCATAATGGTGTACTAGTACCGTTGTGGAGAATTTAGATTTGACCAAGTTGTCGACTTTTTTACTGTAAGCTAAGTGTGCCTCGTGACCAGCTGTTGGTTAGGAATGCACTTTACCTACGGTCACATGCAAGAGGCTGTTTTTTATCCGATTCCGGATAAACTCCAGCAATGGCCTTGTGTTCCACACATACAGTACAAATTGCAGCACGTAATACATCGCAGGCATTATTGAAAATGGAAAGTCGATTTGCAATTGTTTTCTTGTCTGAGCAACACGATAATTGAAGAAACATGACATTTCCAAAGGGGGACCCAGAATAGCCAAAAGTCGTGAAAAGCACAATGCATACACCGTACAGTAGTCAACTTTACAGCTAATCGGTGCTGATAGAGATTCTGAATTAGTGCGATCCACACTACTGTACTTTACAGTACTACTATGTAGTATTACTCGTAATACTGTAGTACTGGTACATGTGTACTAACTCGAAGTATTAAACTATTAATAGTATTAATACATGTATGAAATTGTCAAATTCGATCATTTTCTTTCAATATCGGGAGTGTGGATGTATACCACCAATTGTTTGGAAAGCCATCGACTACAGTATGGCATAATGACCCTTGAATATGATGTGCCTGCTCTTTTGACTATATAACTCTCTATTAGTGAGGTTTAGCGCGTAGTATTTACAGTTAGCAACATGTCCGGTCCGCATCCATTCCGCACATAGACGCGGGCTGGAATATCGAAATTTTGGTTTTTTGCAACTTGCCGCCTCTCCAAACATAGACAGACCAGAGAGGCAAGCGTACTGTAGTAAGGACAAGTAGTACTGTGTAGTAGCAGAGGGCGCAGGTTCCTGTAGGCTTCCCAGCAGTTGACGTAATCGACTGACAGCAACGCTAACATCCCGACCAACGCTTAATGTCGCGAATATTCGAGCACCTCGTTGACTGTGCATACCTACATTGTAGATCTACCTGCTTTTCCTGTCACTAACGTCGAGGTTGTATCCTTGGTGACGAAGAGGCTCAATAATGGTGAGTTATGATATACGAATGCAGCATACAACAATCAAGATGATAGTCCATTCTACTTCTCCAAAATTATTCAAAATTGGGTACCGGAACGGTCCACACAGGTTTGGTGAGAAGAAATCCCCGATTAACTGCAAAACAGTTCCCCACTACAGTATTGTTTTGACGCGAAATAGTGTCAATGAGGAAATTATGCATCCGGATACACTTTATTAGCCTGTATGTAGTACATAGGTACTTACTGTTAGCTCGGACTCCGTTCTACGCCCGGTGAGAACGTACATTATACAGTAATGCTGTACTAGTATACAGTATTGTGCTTTCGAGTGAAATTTCGTGTTGTGGAGTGGTTTCTCGTTGGAATTTAAATCGATTTGATTGGCTACCTCAGATGAGCTCAAAATTATTAGCCAATCAAAACCTTCTCAATAAAATTGAACCAATCAGATCGATTGTGGATCGGTTTGGTCGGCGCGATTCGATTATACCCCCTCCCCAAATTTGTATCAAATCGACAATACTAATACTGCTTTACTGTACTAGTAGCTGTCGCTAACTACTGAGATGCACTTACAGTTAACCACTACCGGTAGTATTTCAGCGGCTTGCGGAAAAAGCCAAAAACCGCTGACACAAAAGTCACTCCGAACACGCCCTAAGTGGTGACGTGGTCAGAGTATACTGTAAACTCATATAAACACCAATTTCTGGCAAGAGAAATAGTGTGACTGTTTTATTGTTAATTGGTTGACTCACGGCGAGGGCGGAAATTAGTGTGGACCACACCACACTATTCATATCTGTAATCATTGTGCCCTTACTATAGTACTGTACTACTCTAGTGCTGTAGTACTTCAGTACAGCAATGCTACTGACCAGTACACCGGAGTACTCCAGAGTACTTGACAGTGAAGTCATGCGTTGGGCCACTCCGAAGGTCGTTTCTCCAATACAGTACTGTAGTGTATACTACTTCGAGTAGTAGCCTACACTAGGGACCGGTAGTTACGGAGTACACTGTACAGTACATACGTTTGTAGCATTTGTGCTGCTGGAGAATGTAAAAAGTGCCAAAAGTTGCAGTTGCATCATGTTACGACATACTACACGTTGTAGAGCAGTAATAACATATATATGCAGTTTGGATATGTACTTTGGTGCGAAAACGTTGCCCCAAAACACACCTCGTTTTTTCGACAAGATTGCTTCAAATGATGGTATGCTAAGTGCATACTAGTAGTCACATACAGCAACGAATTATTGCATTTCGTTGCTTGTACAGTACCTTTGTACAGCTGTAATCTAACGGTAGTTCCCGCAAAAGTACAAGGAGCTTTTTGTGGGTGGTGGTGGTTGATGACAGTCAAGGCAGTGAGCCTTTGAAACAGCGTTACATGGGACTCATCATCAAACGCACGCACCACCGTGCTATAGAGCATCGCCAGTAGTTGCTGCTTACAACAGGTGGTACGGTATATCTTGGCTGAGAGACACGATGAATGTAACGTGTGGTGTCGCGCCGATCTAAGTCCGTGTGACTACTATTTGAAATCAATCGACACCTCATCAACCTATCGACTGCTTCTACAATAATAATGCCCAGCCCCTATGATTCACCTCCGCCGTCAGTAAAAGTGTCAGTCCCCTCGGCTTCTGAAGCTCCCCATCAGCTCATCACGGACTCAGTGGCCATGTCCATGGACCTGGTGCGGCCCACACGGAATTGGTTCTCTCTAATCGTAGCAACCATAAAACGTAGGTTCACAAATCTCAGCCCAAGGGCGGCAGCATTCATTGGAGGCTACATTCGGAAGAGCCTAGAGGCGTGAAATTGTACGAAGCTAGCCACTTTACCTACGCGACGCCAGGGATGTACACGTACATGGCCAGCGTCGATGTGGTTGGAACTTTAGCTGACGTGACCAGTGTGGGGCTGGACCAACACCAATCGTTCGGGCTTTCCATCCACAACTCGACTACCCTTCGAAAGGTCGTGCCCGCGCACTACCAAAGCAGCATCGCGTCCTTGCAGTTGACATGGTGCGACTACAAACCCCTTACTGTTGGCCTTTCCAATGCCAAATACGACTCAACTATGCTTCAGGTATGCATACATACACACTAGCCTTTCCTCTGTATGTGCCCTTGGTTTCGATCGAAATACAAGTCCAGATTATGATGTTGCTTTGCTCGAAGACGTTATAACAGTTTGGCTACCTACCTCCTACTGTAGTCGACCCAACGGTTTGCAAAACACGGACGCCACGGCATGGTCATGGCCTACAAATCGTACGCAGTGCCGAAGTGGCAGCAACCGCCACAGGGCTGTCAACGGGTGCTTAACCACGGCTCTGGTGTCGTGTGCACTGAATCCATCGACCAGCCTGGCTTGGTGACCGTACGTTTTATCGTGCACATCCAGTTACCGCAAACCAGTTCCAAGTTGGCGTCAAAGCACCGCCATTGGGCGTATTTGCGACGGGTCCTTCGATGGTGTCTTGGACTGTCTAGCATCGATAAACGGCTTCGAAAGCATCGGCTGGAGCAGCGAGCGCCGCTGCCTGCCGTACAGCTGGTACCAAAAGCCAGTCGAAGCCATTGTTTTCTGTGCCGCCACGCGTTTGGGTGGCTCCGCCATCGAAAGACGAACTGTTGGGGGTGTGGGGAAGTAGTGTGCTCGTCCTGTTCACTCCCGTGGCATCAGGGGACAGAACATCGACGCATGTGCTCGACGTGTTCTGGTGGTACTGGATTCAGAATCACAGACAGTGACGACGTCGGGGGCGAGGCGTTTGCAGTGTACTTTGAAACGAAAACCGACTTTGACAGCAGCAGCTTTACGACAAATGAATCCAACGCTCCAGTTAACTTCTACAGCCCCGACCTGGCACAAATTCTGTTTCCGTCGCCGGCATCCCCCGGACAAGAACCACAACGGCACACTCGCATCACGTTGATCGACGAAGATTTGGCCGATGAACTGTACGGGCTGCACTTTCAACCGACGCCAGTGTGCATATTCGGATAAATCGTTGGGATAGTAATGCCAGTATATTTTAAGGATAAAGATTAATAGTCGTTTCCGAAATCTCCCTATTGTGAACAATCCACTTTCCTTTTGCCTAATCTGGTCAAGCTACTCGTCGCCCTCGTTGCTTCGACCGCTAACGCAGTCTCTGGGGGACCCAAGATGTGTGGGTACACACCAGCACTTAGTACGCCGACCATTATACAGTACATGCCTTTGTCAGTCATTGTGTTCGCACACAACTAAATTCACTGTCAGGATATTGATATTGATATTACGCTGTAAAGTTAAAATCACTCAGCGGGCACTTAAATTCACTGTCAGGAGGACCATACAATAGCCAACACACAAAACCTATAATGCTTGAAGGCATGTCTGATGTCGGCGGCTCGGTAAAACTTACAAGTATGTACAAAATATCTCCTCCTTCACACATCGTTGTCGACTTCTGAATATTGGACACGCTGAAGCTTCGCTATCATTGCATATTTCTGCTGTAACTCGAACGCCTCCAAAATCAGTCCAACGATGCAAGAAATAAGGCGACACTCGAATCAATCGGATTTAAAATGCAAAGATGTCAACATTGCAAGATCTAGAATACCTACTACGTTCACATCACTTTCAACAAGTACACCAAACGTATATTGTACACGATCAAAGTTGCAGTGTCGAGTCTACTAGTGTCTAGGGGCTTGAACTACTCGTCACCAGTCCACATGCCGCTACAATCATAAGCACTACTGTTGCCGCACCAGTTACCGTCGACGCACCACTGCGCACGGTCGTCGTTGCCGGTGTCGCCGTCGTAGCAGCTAGAGTCGTTGTGGCTGGGGCCGTCGCTGTGCCGTTCGTGGCATTGGTTTTGGGGGGAACAGTCGAGACTGTGACGTTGATGTCGAGTTCTTGGTTCCCACCATTGCCCATTCCGTTGGCCATTCCGTTACCCATTCCATTGCCCATTCCGTTGCCGGCGGACATTGCACCTAAGGAAGGACCTCCCCCCATTGCACCGGAGATGTCACTGCCTTGGCCGTTGTTGCCCATCATCATGTTGCCCATGCTGCCGGGTTGGCCCCCCGTCATCATGTTGCCCGGCTGACCTCCCATGGGTGGCGCGGCGGCATTGTTGGCATGTCCAAGGCATGTCGATGCTGATCACTGTAAAACAAGTTGAATAAGATAAAACCGTGCACCTCCACCATTTTATTAAAGCATGGTTTTAGATCTGGATTAGCCAGTACTTCACAGAGGACAAAGAATCGATCGACAGATTTGGCGAATCCCAAATTTTGGGTAACTACAGTACTGTAACGTTATGTACTTTGTACAGCCGCATTGTGACGGATTGTCCAATAACTCGACAGTGACTTTGCCTTTGTTCAGACTGAGAGTGGTAAAAA